CTTTTAGTATTCTGAATGTACTTGTAAACATTGCCCACTGCAATACATGCATCCCAAAACTGTTGCATGAACAGCTTTCCAGACTGCTATGTTAAGGCATACATTCTGACACAAAAACATGTTTTGTCTGCATGCTTTGAAAGCTACAGATGCATTAATTACTATTATTAGTACTGTTTCCTTTCTCTGTTTAACCTGTTATGAACCACGTTTTGACCTACCATACACGAATGATATTTTGACGTTTTTAGCTGTGGTTTAACATGGTTAGTGCAGCTGAAAATAGGAATTAAAAAGTCGGATCTGATAACATCTTAATTTTTTTGGAACAACCAATATCCTTGAACTATCCAGTAAACAGCTGTACTAGGCTCTTAGTGCTTTATGAGGCTGCATTTTGTAAAAGCTGATCCATTCAAGATCACATATTCGTTCTTTCCATTGAAATTGATAGGTTTCAGACTGAAGACTGTGAGTCAGGTAAACTCTAAGTTAACAGCAGGGCTTTAATATTGCCCTGAACCAGGGACCTGGGAAAAAACCCCAAAAGCTGCTGTTCATGAAGGCATTGGTTTCCAGTATGTGTAAATAGAGACTGTCCTACTAGTCAAAATAAAAGAGAATTTAGGTGTGACATACATGAACATGCAAGAAAAGGTAGATAGGCCAAGGTTTATTTGCATCTCTTACAAACTGTAGTAGTTCCATTAAGTGAGATTCACTTTCAATTTTATGGACTTCATAAAGAAAATATTGCAGCCTGTTGCTGTGCAGTACCAAAAATCATCTGATTTCTGAAATGCAGAATAAAATATTATAATGTATCAATACAAAAAGGACAGTAAAAATAAACAGTACTTTGGAGACCTTTATATGTCTAAACTTTTACATGAACAAGTGATGCACAAGATCTGAGTGCTAACTACTCCCAACTTCTTGTTTTCGGTGTATAAAAGAGCCTGCCTATCAATGCTGCTATAGGGTGCCACATTTTCTCCCTTGTGCTTAAAGAGTTGATTTAACCTACTGGTTATCAAAACAAGAAGATGAAACCTTGAGAATTTTACATGAACAGAAAGGTCTTTCTGACTTCTTGATAGTTACTTATTGTATATTTATTAATACTTTTTTATGTTATAGAAGTACTTAGTTGTCCTATGTAACTGCTGGTTCTGTAATGCTGATTACTTGGAATGCACAGAATAGCAAATGATTGCCCCAAACAACTTTGATTTTAACAACATATTAAGTCACTGAGTTTAATCCCATGTTTTAAGCACCTGTGTATTTCTATGCAGATTTGAGGCCTGATTAGTATGTCATTCTTTTATTCCTATAAGTGGTACCTTTACAATAATTTCTATAGTTGTTTTTGGTATTGTTAGGCACAAAATCTGTGCATCTGGTTTTATCCTGTTCAAATACAAAGAAGATGGAATAATTCAGGTTGGAAGGGACCTGTAGAGGTAGCTAATCCAGCCTCCTGCTTAAAGCAATCAGGTGTGTAATTGGACCAGTTTGCTTTGGGCTTTATCCCATGAGGGCTTGAAAACCCCCAAGAATGGAGGCCTCTCTGGGCAGCCCATCCCACCTCTTGTTGATGACTGTTTTTTCTCTCGCGTCAGATCAGAACCTCTCTGGTTTCAGTCTATGTTCACTGTCTGTCATTCTCCTGCCTTGCACCACTGTTCTCAGCAATGTCCTCATAGGTGCTGGCAGTCTGCTGCTAGGCTCTCCCGAAGCCATCTCTTCTTCAGGCTCAACAAGTCCATTTCCCTCAGCCTCTCTTCACAGGGCAAATGCTCCCACCCCCAACCATCTCAATGGTCCTCTGCAGACCTTGCTCCAGTTTATCAACACCTTTTCCTGTACTGTGGGACCCAACACTGGACAAAGTACCTTAGATGCTGTCCAATGAACTCCAAGTAAATGGTGGCCAAGACTTTCCTTGGTCTACTACTTGTGGTCCTGTTTTAATGTGTCTCAGGATGCTGTTTGCCTTCTTTAGATGCCTAGACATGATAATGGCTCTCCTTGAGCTTCCTGTCCACTGAGATCCCCAGACTGTTTTCAGCAGAGGTGCTCTAGCCAGGCAATCCCCAGTCTGCTTTATTGTATGGAGCTAAAACACATGTGATTAATCCCAATAAACCTATTAAAATGGTTTTCAAAGAGAAGAGATAAGATTGCTGTTGCTTCAAGAATGACATCATGTATTTAAAAATCTTCGCTTTTTTATGAAGCAAACAGCACTTCCATTTCTCTGAATCTTTGCCTGCTATCATCTTTTAATCAAACATATATTTGATATGAAAGGTATAGTTATGTGAAAGATACATATATATATATGAGGTATAGTCAAATAAGAATTGAAATTGGCCACTGATATGTAATGTTTTTTATCTTGTTAATGAATTCAGATATTTAGAAAAGGGTTTTTAATTTCTGTAACAGTGTCAGGAGTTCTGGATTAATGTAGTGATAGGTGTCATGTGCAGCATATGGACTGTAGGTCTGACCAAGCATTTTCACTTCAACCAAAGGAGACTACATAAGTGTTTACTAGCATTTCTGGACTGGTTTAAAATTTTGAGAAGCAGTCATTAAATTGACTCTTAATGTACTGCAGGACTGTTTTTACCCTTTAGAATTTAGTTAATAGAGAACTTTTCCTTCAGAAATTAACATACATGAGTGTATTCATTTTGTTCTTTCACTATATTCAAGATCAGATGTGAGATCAGAGACCTCCCTGAAGAAAAGAAAGCATTAAAATATTTAAAGGATTTTTAATAATGTGGTAGTATCAGATGTGGTATTAACAGACTTGATTTTAATGCCTGGTTTGAAATTTGTTACTTAGGGATGAAGACATGCAAAGCCTGGCTAGTTTGATGAGTATGAAACAAGCTGATATTGGAAATCTAGATGATTTTGAGGAAGATAATGAAGAAGATGAAGAAAACAGAGTGAATCAAGAGGAAAAGGCTGCAAAAATTACAGGTTGGTTTTGCCACAGGGATGGTAAAAGATAGTTCCCTTTGCTTATTGCCAGGTGTGTTCCATGGATTTTATCCTTATGCTCTATTTCCATTTAATTTTTAACACTCCAAACCAAAACAAAATTTAGGATAGTTTGATTATTGAGTTATGGATGGATCCCTCTTCAAAGTTTTAATATTTGTGAATTTAAGAGCATTGATTTGTGTGTGTGTCTCCTGTTTTTAGGAGAGAATACACTAGGTAGCATTTTAGGGAAGCAAAGAAACAGTGTGAACAGAGGACTAAAACAACGGAAGGAAAGGGTCAGTGAGCAAGACGGAAAGAGGATGAGCTGAAGTGAAATTATGAAGATGGTTTGTGAGAATAACTCCGAAATGAGTTGTGCTGTGGGTAGGTGCTGAGGTTCTGCTCAATAACATGGTAATTCCAGGCAGCGTACTTCTGCCTTTTGGTTGGGGGTGTCTTATGGAAATGAAATCAGGAGACTGTTAAAGGACTTTAACGTAGTTTGATAGTAAGGTTGTTTGAAGTGAGATAGTATAACCACATTTAAATTGCTTGCTGATGAAAATGCTTAGTGTGTCCAGGATAGCTGAACTAATCGATACAAGTCAGATCAGGATGTGATGATGTTAAATTGGAGGTAGAGATAATTATGTAGTACTGCACCAGATGAGTTCTGTAGGAACTTTTAGCGCAAAAGAATTGGGAAAAGACAAATTAACTTCTGGTGCCAGCCTTCATGCCTGTCAGTGCTCTTTAAAAATGTCTGTTGAAATAAAGGGATCTTTCTTTAAGGTGGGAAAGAGCACCCGAAGCAGAAGTGAATTGTCAAATCTGTTCTTGAAAATCCAGAGGAACGTCGGTTCAGTGTTACAAAACATTCCTTCCATTGCTTCTTTTTGAGCTTTTGTTGCAATCGAAAGGTTCAACCTGAAGCAGTTATTACTTAGTTATATTTAGTATTGTGAAAGGATGCAAATATTTTCTCCATGCTTTACATATTCAATTAAACATTTTGTACCCTGACCAGATCTCTACTTACGCTGTATGTGTCTGGCACAGAGCAGATTGGAAAGTCCAGAATGAAAAATTTGAGGGGCAGAGATAATATATTCTTGATCAGGGAGCAGCGATATACCAGTCTGGTCACACTGAAATCATACTGCAAGGTCGTCTTCTCCTTTCCCAGTGTAACCAGAATAATTCAAGAGTGGGTCAGAACACCAAACAAAACCGGACATGTTTATCAGGCCATCCAGTAATCACAGAGGAGAGAAGGCACGTAAGGAGAGGCTACTTAAAGTCTATATAAAGTATTGTACAGAAGTGTTTTATTAAGATATGCCTAGATACTCCACTGAGGACTGCTACAGAAAACCCATGTGCAGAAGGACAGTAGGTGAAAAGCAGCAGATCTTGCTCCTCAACTTTATTGATTTTGCAACATTCAGCATCTAAATAAGCCAACAAACAATTCCTGAGCAAGCAAAAAGCTGATGTAAATTAGCCTGTCCACTAGCCTTTGGCTATGTAGTGAACATCCCTGGATATAGATGGGGAAGGGTGAGCTGTCTGATGTGCAACGCAAGGTCCTAGCTTGAGTTGTTTTAGAGACATTTCAGCTTTTCCATCTGTTGTTGTAAAGGCCAAAATTATCTGTTCTAAGCAAACATTACAGTACGTACTTGAAAGGCAGACATGATAAATACTTCTGAACTACACTATATCTGCTCATTGTTCAGCCTGTCCTGATACTGTTTTCTAATGATACAAGGTGGGAGGGTTGTGTTGGGTTTTTGTAGATGCATCATTAAGGGAACCTGAGGGAAGGAAAGGTTGGCCTTGGACTTTTTCTTCCGGTGTTGGCTACAACCGCTGAGTTGCTTCATTAGGCTGGCTAACTTTTCCCACGTTAGACAAGGAGAGGGATGAGAGAGATGTTGAAGGAGAATGGGTGCACGTAGTTTCCCAAGCACAAGGGAGAACATAAAACATAGGGTAGTAAGTAAACATTAATAAATAAAATGTAAAGGTCTATTTCAACATGTGTTCAAGATTGATTTCATTGGCAGTTGGAGTGACTCCTGTAATAAATATAATGAATGGGAAAAACTAATCAAACACAAGGAGAAGTGCTGAGGAACCAAGGGAGAAAGAGGTAGGAATTATTGTAGAAAAATAGGAAGAAATATAGAAAGAAGGAAATGGAATGAAACTGAATTAGTGAAGTACTATTTCTAAAAATTTCTTTCAAAAATAATTGTGTTCGCAGACTCCCATAAAGTTAATTGAGGAAGTTACATAACCCTTTTGAAAGCTTGCTGCTCCCAACATTTTCTCATCTGTTGCCATGTTAGGGTGTTGGCAGCTGAGCGAGCTGAAATGCCTTCACTGACTCAGAGTGCCCTGCGGCAAATCACTTTGCCTCGGTGTGCTGGTTTTCCCAACTGTAAAATGGGGGTATTGGCTATAACTTCTTCACGGGAACGATGGGAGTATTACATAGTTAATGTTTGTAAGCAAGCTTTGAAAAAGTAAAGTGCAAGTAGTAAAGCAGAAGGGATTATTATCCTGCTTTTGACTCAAGGTCTTCTCACAGAAATGTTGGATGACTCGATCACCAAAATGTTGTCATTCTCAAGCCACAGCTGCAAGAGGTGCTGCAAATCCTTATCACAGACACTGGTCCTTTTTGCAGTGTACAAGAGTTAATTTTTGTATTTATTTGACCCAAAGTTACAGTTTTATAGATGAACATATTAAATATATCCACTGCTAGGAGAAAAGGGAGACCTGCTGAATGAAGCTGTAGATGGTGCAGGTGAGTTAGGAAATGGTGCTTCTCTTCCTTGATATGTTGCCTAACTTTGGGTATCTGTGCCTCTAAACAGATATTTCAGCTATGAAATAAGTGGCGCAATACTGACCTACCTCAAAAGCACTGTGGAATTTTGTGTGCCAACATGGGACCTGTTGACATACAACTGACCTTCAGATCAGACTGAAATATGTTTTTCCATTCAAAGCACTACTTTAATTTAAAAAAATCTCCCTCCATCTCAGACTTTTTCCTTTCCTTCCCAATATTTCTTGTTTAAATTTTTCATGTGTAAAAGCTGTATCTCCACCTAACTGTTCTGGTTTATGTGAAGTTGAAAATGTTTGTAGCCATGAAATACACTCAACTATGTTGTTTCTACACTATAAATATAGATGAATTTAAACCTCCCAGAATTATCCTGTTGTTAGTCTTCAGTTAAAGACAAGGCATCCCAACATACGTGAAGAAATGTGGCTCATAACTCACAAACTAATAAATACATTGCTTCTCTTAATGTTTTAATTGATACTTAGAGCCTCATGCTGAAGTTAATAGTTGCTTCCTGCTCCATCTGCAGAGGGGTATGGTGACTGTCCTGGGGTGCCACATGGACTCAGCAATGTGCCTATGTGCTACCTATTGCATGAGTCTGAATCCCAGTGTATTTCAAGAGCAGGCTTCTGGAGAGCAATATGTAAACCTTTCTTGCCATTTGCAAAACCATACCTCTTGTGTAAATTTCTGATGTATTTAGTCTTTTTTGTCAGTAGCACCAAGCTGCCTAAAAAAAGAGCGAGAGAGAAGAATAAAAAAAAAAGCCGAGTGATTTATATGACATACTTGTAGAACAAGCTAATGTATGTAGATAATGAGATTTATAAAAGATAATATGGGACATAAATCTCCAACCTACCATTTCCACACTCCAAAATATGACATAAACCATTTAATATTGTAATGAGAAACATTGTAGTGCATACGAGTGTTTAGGTTGGCAGATGGGATGAGGTGATTCAGACCACATCAAAGAATTCCCTCTTTTTAAAGCTCTGAACTTAATTTGTTATTTTCTGACAATAAAAACTGAATTGTAATTGTTTTGGGTTTGTTTTTTTTTTCACATGCTGGCATAATAAATTGTAAATCATGTCAGCATCTCAGCCTGTTTTAAACTAGTAATTCGTTTGTACTGGTGTTTTTTAAGGTCAACTCTGTTTTATTTGAGTACAGCAAGGTATCTTCCATTGTGTATCTTGAGTCTTAAAAATTCCCAGAAGATAGTATTATATTGTTCAGATCTCTGAGGTGTATATATGGTTTTATACTGAGAAAGTTAAGAGTTTTGGGGCAGTTTTGGTGGGTTTTTTTAGGACAATAGTCTTGTTTGTTGGAGCTAAAAATAAGGAAGTCAGGATGCTGAAATTAAGTCTTGTGTAGATAGATATAAATGTGATGCCATCTATGTAAATCTTTGTTTTAAGGTCAAGAACAGTTAGGAGGTGCAGTTAAGAGGAAATCTGCTGTGGCTTTGTCATTATCATTATGTCCAATAGATATTGGCAGAATAGATCATTTCACTTGGTAATTTGCAGATTGGCATATCTTTGCAAAGTAGTTTAAATTTGGAAAAGACGTTTTTAACTGTATAATTGAAATATTTTCAGGTTCTGGACTCTGCTTTTGGCTTCAGGTTCTTTATGCTGCTTGTGAAGGCATGAAATAAAGTTGTGTCAGTGTGTCAACTGGTGAAGGTGTTGCCCTGTGAAAAAGCATGAGTCCTCCCTGCAAGGAAGCTCTGGGTGGCTGTGGGCACCAACATGAGTTGGGACAGTCACAATACTACTCAGTTTTCACCTCAGTCTGATATTTTGCTCCTTGTAACTAGTTCATAGAACAAAGTTTACTGTGTGAGAGTCAGTGACAAATGTTTGCTTTCCCAAACAAAAGCCATATGAGAAAAACTCAAGTTCAAAACAGCAGTGAACTAAAAGCGTTACAAAGAAGTAAGTTCTTTGTGTACACCAGAAATGGAAGTTTAAAGGAAATCCAAGAGTGATTGGCTTGAGAAGTGTCCAGTAAAGGCATCTACGTAGCTTTAACTTCACTGATGACACCAGAAGACATCATCCATTTATTTCCTTGGGAAAAGATGGCAGATGAAAAAACCTGTCAGAGAGGCAGTGATATTCCACAAGTGGGATCATCTCTCCTGCGCAGGTTTCTCCTGCCTATCAGCTGGAAGGATGAAGAAGGCTGTCCCCTCTCCACAGAAACCCATGCTTGAGGTCTTTCAGAGATGCCCCAGGCTTACAGAAACTGCATTTGTCAGATGCTGTGGATGGAACTGCTTTAGGGGGGAATCAGAGAGAAATTTTTCCCCTTGGGCCAGAAGCCACTAAGACCTAGTTTGTTTTTGTTTCTTTCTTTCCTTCCAGAATTATGGGGGCATCAATGTCTTGGCTAGAATTAAACATTAATACATTTTAAAAATTATTAGTTCATGGCAATTCACAGCTCTCCACTATGGATAGAAGGTGAAATAGGATTTTACCAAACAGTAAGGTGTTACTTGCATAGCATTACAATGGCAAATTCAACCAATACGTGTGTTCAGTGTGCATTCTGATAGCACAATACTGATCATATCTTTTAGAACTATTAGATAACTTCAACTTGTCATAGGTCAGAATTTAATGGTGACTGATTGTAAATGTTAAATGAATAAAATATAAACAATGCATGTGTATGTATTAGTTTTCTGTAGCCTTAAGGGTTTGGGAGGGAGGTGGATTGTTTTGAGGCTGTTTTCTGTTGATCGACAATGGCTTAAAATTCAGGTTTTCTTCACAAGCAGGAAAAGTCTTTATACCTGGTACATTTAAGTTTTGAACTGATGTGCATACTCATCCTCATAAAACTAATTACTGTTGCTGACACCAGGAATCCAGCAAGGTTTTGTTTATGTCTGTTAACTGGATTTCTTGTTAAATTATCACTGAAGTGCCTACGCAGGTGCTCTGCTGTAGGTATATCATTGCAAGGACTCATTCTAAATGCATTCTTTTAATTAACTCTAAGTGTCTTCTCTTTTACCCTCTCTCTCCCTCACTCTCTAGTAACAGTGTTCGTTCCACTTCTGTTTCATTAAATGCCCTTGCCTTACGTTTGTCTTGACTGGCTTCTATTTACAGAAATTGTAAACCAGTTGAATGCTCTGAGCAGCTTAGATGAAGATCAAGATGACTGCATAAAGCGAGCAAATATGCCTTCAGCTAAATCAGCCAGTTCCTCTGAAGGTCTATGAGCTTTCCTCCTTTCTTTCTGTTTCTGATTGTCTGTATTTACTGTGAGCCGTTACCTTTTGACTCCTGCTTCTATTTAGCTGTCAGTTTTATCTCTGTGCTTCCACCCGGCATGACTCTCAGTAATTTGTAGTGCATCCAACAGGAAACAACATGATATAGAAAGAGCCTATCTCCTCTTCAGCTCTGTTGTCATCTGATAATGACAAAGAAAGAAAAAAAAAAAAAAAAAGGCAAAAAAATCCCACCCAAAACCACCAGACCACAAGCCTAAAACATTATTTGGGCAGGCAGTAATACTAGACCTCTCTAACATGACAAAATGTCCCCTCTCTGATTTTACGTGCATGTTGCATCCAAAAATTAAAATTCTCTGCTGAGAGTTAACATGTATGTGAACAATCAAAAAGAAATTGCTGTATTTAGCTTGTTAGATGTTCTGCAACATTTATTTGATTAAGATAATAGAAGGCTTTCTTAGTAGTCGTTTCTGTTACATAATGTTCTGATCAGTGAATAGACGTTTCATTCATTTCACTTTTTTCTCCTTTGTTGGTGTACTTACTGAAGTGTATTTGCTTAGTTGTACAGTTTGTGCCATACCCTGGTGCAGTGTTCCGAGAGACTGTTGGTACTGGGGTTTTTTGAGTTGGAAATATGTTAGACGAACAGTTTGTATCTATATTAAAACAATATTCCAACTTGTTTGTAGAGCTTATCAATAAGCTTAATTTTCTGGATGAAGAGGAGCAAGACCTGGCCAACTCTAGTACGAACCCTTTTGGTGATCCTGACACAGCAAAATTAAATCCATTTGGAGACCCTGATGTAGAAGGTAATAGATTTGTTTTGCATAATTAATCTCTAATTGCAAGTGCTTAATGAAACATGATTATTTTTTTGGTAGGGCTACAAATGAAAAATGTTATTTCAATTAAATACAATTATTACATAGAGTCCTTAGGTAGCAATAGCGGTGATCCATTTGCCACTGGAAAATGAATTTATCCTTTGAGTCACATCCTTATGTGCAGTTGCCTCTGGGGGCTACCAGGTAAGAGTTGAACCAGAGACTTTTATACCTATCTGGTATGTTGCTAGTACTCACCTCATGGTATAAATGACCAACACATACTGGCAAGTGCCTCTGTTCCACATGGATGCTGGTTTATATCAGAACTTCATCTGAATCACAGCTATTCTTGGTTAGCAGTAATCTTCATTATTATAATTTAATTGTATCTCTTTCATTCCTCTTTTTTTGCTTTTATGGCTTCCTCAGTTAAGCCTTCTGGCATTGTGCCTCACACCACGTGGTAGGCATTAATCCCCTTTCCAGACCAACGTGCCCATTCTTGTTCTGTTTGAGTGAGAAGTACAACCCATGTAAATTTTTAATCTGACAAGACTTCAGCCATAAGGCCAGAAAGGAGCACCAAGACAGCAGGCATCTCTGCAGTCCTCAGCTCCATGTCCAGATATGCAGACTTCCATCTGCTGTCATTAAAAATAAAAGGGTGTATGACTTAGGTTGCAGCTGCTTGAAATGCCAATCCATAGTTAATTCCCGAGTTTGAAGCAGTACTTAGCCTTTCCTGTTCAAAGCTCCAAGACTTTTCTTCCCACAGAAAATACCAAGGAGCATTTGCCACCTTTGACCAAACCCCAGGACCCACTCTGTAATGGCAGTGGAGAACCCCACTGAGCAGGAGCAGCCCAGAGTACTGCCATGGGACTTCTAATGCCAGGTCTAATGAGGATGCATTTCTGAGCTGCAGTTTCCACCTGTGGTTACTCTCTTTCTCTGAACAAGCGGAATGTTTACTCACAATGTGACTTTTCTGCCCTCTGAATCCACAGAGGCCAGAGTGGTTGGTGATCTAAGTCCTGTTATGCTTTGGCTGTGGTGTGGTCCACAGTTTGTATTTCTCAAACAGGGACATTGGACTATCTTTTGTATTTGGCCACTGAAGCCATAAAGTCACTATCCCAGGCCCCTTCTCCCCTTTATAAAGTTGTCAGGTGTTTCTAGAGCTGCAGAAGCAAGTTGTTTCAGCTTTCTAGATACCAAGATACATTGATTAGGTTCTGGTGTCCAGATCTTTGGCTTCGTTTCCTGTTTGTTTCTTGGCTGTGAATTCCCTTAGGGTCAGGGAAGGAGGCAGAATAGCCGGGGATGTAAAACACCTATTCTTGTCCATCTAGTTGTCCATACACAACTTGCTCTAAGAGACAGCCTATATTCCTTCCTTCCTTCTCTGCTCTAGAAAGAAGAGCTCCCTTCTTCCTGGAGAGAGCTGTACGAGTCCCATCCTATGTAAACTACTGTTTGCCAAACACAGCTTTTCTTTCCTTTCCAGAGAGAACCTGCACTGGCAGAAAGCAGCAGATCTTCTGACCACAAAATATAGGGACTAAGAATTGGTGCCTTCTCATCTCAGGGACAGGGTGTTATAAACTGGTGGTGTTTCTTAGTGCTGAAGTAGCTTGACACTTCTTGTCAAGTCTCCTGTGAGCAGCCTGGATCCGAGGCTCCAGCCTGCTTATGTTCCCAAAAGACTTGCAGTATCTGTGGGGCATGTTTTTTTCAGTTGATTCTGGTCCTGTTGGTGGCATCTAGCCTTTACTGCCATCTTCAGTCCCAGCCACAGACACTTCTCTGCTCCTCTGGGTCTGTTCTGTGTACTTGGGCAGTCTCAGGGCTCAGACTGTTGGGTCCCCAAAGAAGTCCCATTGACACAGCTGTGGGCAGCAACGCTGAGTTGTTGGGTGTGTGCACAGCAAATATTCCTCCCACACATTGTCGCCATCATGCAGCCATCAACGTACAACAACATGACAGTGATTTTGATAAACAGGGTGTCACTGGATTCTTCCTCCTGTGTCATAAGGTGTTTTTTATTTGGGAGGGATGGAGCTTCTGTCAGGTTCATGTGACAGTAGTATGACTTCCTGGAGCACTGAACCAAGTGGAAGATCTGAGGCGTTTCATGCTGTCAGACCAAGAGTAGGACATTTGGTGTGGCATTTTTAAAGCCTTTACTTTATGATTAGTGGCTCCTCAGCGATTATTCTAGTCGCCTCAGACACCTCTGAGACTTGCTGGCTCTTTCACTCCAGAGCTGTCTTCTCCCTATAATGAGCACTGGTTGTGTTTATCTTCCCTTGCTTGGCCTTCTTGACATGTGTCTTTCCTCCAGTCCTTTTCCTTCACAGAAAGTTGAGGGGGGGGGGAAAAGGTGCTGAGACAAATTAGAGAAGACAGTTCTGGTCTTCAGCAACTGCAGGAATCTGCTAGATATGTCTATGGCTAATTGGATCAGTATCTCTACATGGGGTGCACCTGAACCTCACCATTTCTTGAGATTTCCCTTTCTGTTGGACTACATTTTGAACCTACACAATATCATGGCTGTGCTTACCTTGTTGCTCTACTGCAGAAGGCTGCCCTGTTTGTTTCCCATTTGGCCTCATGGTTTAGGACATTCCCTCTACTCTGAGACCTCAGTGAAACTTTCATTGCTGCCATCTCTTTTTTAGGAAGCTCTTTGAGACTATTCCCACTTGTTTGCTTTTGCATCCTTAAGTGAATGTGACCTTTTTGGTGGCCACCCCAGGAGCTTAGGAGCATGACAGAGCTTCAGGAGTTTAAGGCAGACTTTCTCCTGCAGGCTTAAAGAGTCACATTACCCGTTTCACTTGTCTTGTGATCTGCTTAAATCAAGAGATTAACCTTCCTTGCGTGCAGGGATGAAGTATTTTTCTGTTCACTACATGTTAGTCTGCTTTATCTTTTGACCAGGATAAGGCAAAATTTTGAATGTAGACTTCGCGAAATTTCAGAGTCTTCCTGTAGAATTTGTTACTTAATTTCCCCTAGATGTGCAGAGCAGCCATCTGGAGGTCCTTTTCCCCAGTACTTTACCAGCAGATGGCTAGGAGGCATGATGTGCCATTTGGCAGAGTTATTCCAGGGATATTCCTATCAAACATGTAACCTGTGTGCTTAGTGAGAGGGTGTGTAGAGCCACACAGAGTATGAATGTGTATGTATTGACAGTCGCTCAAAGAGAAAGGAGGATTACTTGCCAGTAGATACTTGTTTCCTAGACAGATATTTCTTGTGCCTGCTCACAAACCAGCTACTTTCCCTCTATCTTTCTAATCCCATAATCACTTAACCCTGGGAATGCAGGATGAAGAGAAACCAAAGGCGTGAGTGCTCCCAACATCCATATGCACACTGTGGGTGTGGTACGTGGCAGAGGGTCATCAGCAAGCTGTCTCTGGATGCTGCTGTGGTTTAAAAAATCCTTAGTGTAAATGATCTTATACACACAATGGAGTGAATGTGCATATGAACAACTCCAAAAAAAATCTTCAGCCATATTTCTTGGTTGACATCTCAAATTGAGGCTTATTCCCTCTGTATCTAGTAAGTTAGCTTGACATTACAAATCTGGAAAATCAAAAATAATCTCTTTGAACAGTGTATCTCTACAGCTTTATACTAGACAATATGTAGATGATCATATGAAGGCTGCCTTTTGGATTGTCTTTTAGTCACATTACAACAGAACTCTAAAATCATTTTTTGTGCAAAATATTTTACTTGAGGAAGTCAACATATACAACAAATGCAAATAGAAAACAACAACATGCTTTCAATGCTGCAGATAATTTTTTTTAATTAGGCGGGGAGTGCAAATTTTGAAGTGGTGTATGACCAATACAAGTTTCCTGCAACACACCTGAGACATGAGGGTAGCTATTTGCTGGTACTGCCTCCTCCTTTCATTTAAAACAGCATTTACTTTGCCAATGTGTTTCTTTACCTTATGTGTAGTCTTATGAGCTCCCTGCAGAATGTATTACACTGCAAATGAAAACAGTGCTACAATGCAGTACCAAACCCCAGAATCCTTCTAGGATAGTCCTATGGAGAGCAGTACAAGAAGCAATACAGAGGAAAATTATTATTTCTCCTTATATTGCTTAATGTGTTGCTGCTGAGTATTAAAAGAAGTAATAGAAAAGCATCAGTAGTTTATAGGGATGCCAGTCATTACGCTTTCTAGAGTACTGGGAAGTTACATTTTTATTCTGTGCTGTTTGTTACGCTGCTCACATCACCATCGTGACTGTGCCTGCCAGTAGTGCAGTAAATGGCATAACTAAATATCTTTCACATGTGGCTTGTTCTTTCATCCTCTGCCAAGGGGAAAGTGGTATGTGTAATGTTTTGGTGAGGGTTTTGTTTGGTTTTAAGGGATGTGTCACAATATGTTTGTATTACAAAAGGCAAGCACGTTGAAGGGCAGGGTGATTTTTGGAGATCCTCTGGGAACTAGAAGGCTGATTGTGCAGATAGGTAGTGCCAGAGTGATTACTATCAGTAGCAGTGTTTCTCAGTGGAGTTAGGGCAAGTAATGTTTCCAGAATCTGGCACAAGAGCAGTTGGTGCTTCTGCTGTAGTAATAATTGTACCTCTCCTCTTGTCACTCCTAACCCTGTGGCTCTATTACTTAACGATGCAAAGTTATTGTGGGTTTGACCCTTGGAGTGCCAAACTGCAAATGTCGTCTTTTTTTTTCTTTCTTATATTGGTGTAGAGAAAGGCAATTAAAAAAAAATTGTTCAAGGAGAGACTGGAGTCCTGTGTTTTCAGCTGTGATTAATGATTAAGGGGAAGCAGGGAATCTCTGTTGACTCCTTAGTGTAAAATCAGCTTGAAGAGGGAAATAAGCCCCTTTTAAGCTGTTACATGTTTAGCCCCGCAAAATGCACTTCCCAACATCATTAGGTCCTTGAGAAAATATGAGTGTCTTTGTTACAGAGAAGGTAACAGTGGCTGTGGCTGTAAGAGCAGTGTTGAGTCACCATCCTAGCAATTTAATTTATTATAGAGAGGCTCACAAAATGATGACCAGCACTTGACATAAACCTAGTCCTAAAGGGTTTCAGAGGTACCATGGGAGATAGCCTGGTTGGGTTCAGGTGAGGACCCTCCCTCCTGTGGGGAAACAGAAGGAAGCAGAGGGGACAAAAAAATAGTGATGACACGAAGGGAGACAATGAGCAGTCAGGTGGCTTTTAGTTGAGCCCCTGCAAAATTCTGCCTATAAAAGCGTCTTGAAAATGATATTTTTAGAAGCTCTTTTAATTTTAGCCTGTGAGTAGGATTTTGTGAAATCTTTCAATTAATAATAAGCCAGAGGTCTCTGAGCGCTGATCTGCAATGTTGCGCCTGTAAGGCCAAACCTGTAGATACTGTTGAGCCAATGAACAAGAGAAAGAATTTTGTCCTAGTTAGGGTTACAGCACTTGATCCATCGTGTTGAAATAGAAAGAATTGCAAAAACCATTTGCATTGCCCCTTAAAACTTATCAGATTTAAACAAGCATTTAACTCATCATTTTCCATACTTAAAAGCAAATTAAAAATAAAAGCTTACAGCATAGTTTTAAGAGATTGTTTCCCTAAATGTTCTTAACTTCAGGAAATATTACTGACATTCTTTCTAGTAATATTTATTTGAATACTGCTTGTGAACTGTCAGCAAGTTTTGCTTGGATGTGATAATGTCTATTTATCAACAGATTCATGTGCAGGTGCAGTGATCCATCTTTTCATATGCAGTTGCAGAAGCAGGTATTCATAGTCGTGCACTGAACAAAGTTTAAAGTAGCAAAAGTTTTGGTTAAAACCTTGATGCACAATTTGAACAAGACATACATCAGTCATTTGTGTGCATTTTATTTAGGTTACTTCTGTGCTTTTTATATGTAACTGTCTTTTGAGGACAAATCTTAAAACCATTTCTGCTTGGCCTAGTTCATCAAATCACTAAATGTGTGGGTAATACTTGCCTAGTATCCTGACTGCCATGAGCTTCAAGTCATGCATATCTACACAGTAAAGGGTGGGATTTGGCTCACCTGATTTTTTAACATATACCTGTAATCTTTGACTGTAAAGGAGTTAAGACAATTAGCTCACATGTAGATACCCACACTCAGACATCCCAGGGCAAGCAGGGTGAAACTTCTGCTTGTCATGACCACCTGCACTGGATGCTAAAGTGATAGAAGTTAGGCAATGTAGGACCTCTTTCCTTGTTTTAGTGTAAAATAAATTTAAAAATTACATTTAAAATGTTGGGCTCTGCTCTGATGTATTTCACCTATAACACTGCCGAAGGATTTGATCATATTTGTGTTTTTAAGAATTTCTGCCTTGACTGATTTCTTTTCCCTTGTCAGTTAAACTGTAGACCTTCAATATTAGTTTATTGTGGCTTTCTCTGAGACATCTTGTAAGGATGCAGGCTTGTGAACAAATCACCATACATAAACTAGGGTGTGAGCTTAGTATGTATCACTTACTGTGCAGTAACTACCCTTTCTCCCAGGATAAGTGCCCAGTAGTTTATTCCCTTTTATTAAGGGATAGGCATGTTGAATTTACTCTGGGGTAGGAGTAAACACATACACTACAGCTGACATACTGCAAATACACACCATGGTTTATCCTGCAGTAGTTTGTCTGTATGTCCATCTCCTAAGACACAGCTGAAATGTTGCTTTATGATATTCAGGTGAGGTTTAAACAGTAACAGAATGTCTTTTTTAGGTTTAGCTAACACTATTATTGCAACCCTGATTATTTGGGGTTTTTACTGTTAGCTATAAGGATTTTGATTAATGAGTTATTTTTATAACACATTTTGACTGTATAAAGACTGACCATTAAGCATAATAATAACAACTTCTTATGATCTCACTTTAACTTTGTCTCATCCCATTTCAGTGTAGTGTGTGATTCATATATTTTCTCAATTTCCTTTTTTGACTCCAGTTTTTTACTTGAAACAGTGATAGCTGTATTCTGAATTTGAAGTTACATGTAAGAACTTATGAGATACGTAAGAGAGAGATGTGTTGTGTGTGTGTTGCTTCTTTAATGCTAAGTTGGACCAGGTTGCTGAAGGAATAAGAAACTGCAAACCTCACTTGGAATTAAAGGAAATTTTTAATATAACTTTCTAAATAATCACCATAGGGAAATTCCACAGGCACAGGTCCTGTGCATAGTTGTGTGTCTACCAGTTAAAATCTGCAGTATTGTCTGGCAAAGTACAATTTTATTTTGTTTCACCCAGCTGAACTCACCCTCAATCTCAGATGAGTGATTTATCTCCTGAGTATCCACATTTTTTGGTTGTTTGTTTTTTGTTTTGTTTTGTTTTTTTTTCCTTTTTTCTTTTTTCTGTTATTCCAGCCAAACCTATTTGGTTTCTACTTTCTGACCATAGAGAAATGATCCATCACTTCAGAAACCGACCCTTAGAAATAGCATAGAAGACAATATGCTAACATAGTCTTTGCAGTTCAAATGGGAAGAATCAAGAAAAGCAGCACTATAAATGTGAGGTTCTTCCTAGAATGAAATCTCTCCAGTCCCTGGTAGGTCTTAATATTTCTGAGAAGGACTAAAGCCTTTCCTACTCCAAGCCTTTGCTTGGTCTAGAGACTGGTGACTACTCCAGTGCGTAGATAGGTGAAGCTGCTACCAGCATCTGGGGACCATATTCCTGTCCAGCTAGGAGTGGCTCTTCTTCAAACTGTAGATTAGTCAGTCACACTACCTGGGGAAGGGCTTTCTATTACCTTGGGCTGTGCTGATGGCTGGGGACAAGGTGAACTAGAAGTTTACTGGCGGAGTAGAGAACACTTACATCTTCTAGCAATTCACCAGGATTAGCAACTTCAGTACATCATACACCCAAACCCAAGTAATGACAGTGCTGTTTCTTTCACTGCCCCTTCCCTTTGTTAGTTGGGTGACTATTGATTTTGTCTTCCCAAATATTTGTTTAGTGGCAAACACACTTGGAACTCCGTCTTCCTATTTTTTAGTGCCTTGCAAATAACTTTCAGAGTTTTTCCTTTAAAGCTAAAAGGTACACTTTGTTTAATTTAGTAGCCATACATCTGAAAAAGAAAGACTTTTCATTAAGAGTAATGTGGGGAGTGGTTATTGAAACTTAGGTTTTAATGACATTACACTGAAGTTCCTATTTGCATAGATTTTGAAAGTACATCAAATCCAATATTGAACTGAGTTTCTGAGTTTTCTTCCTGAACATCAGGAAGAGCAAGATTAACATTACTAACTGTCTTTGTAAGAAATGTTGCATTGCTATAGGGGGATTTGTATTATTCAATATCCAGCAGTCATTTACATTTGTGTAATGTTCTTTCTGTAGTGTCTCTTACTCTAAAGAACTGCATGCAGCTCCAGGTTGCTAATAACTTTTTGTTGTACAGCCCAAATAATAGATGAGTAATTTGATTATCTGTCTCTTTAGGGTTAATTTAAATTCATTTTTTACTGTGAGGCTATGTATTGTTACCAGGAGCAGTTAGCAGTGAAAATATGTGTGTTTTGAAATATAATTACTGATCATACCTAATAACTGGGTTTTTTAGTTCAGTCATTTTAAGAAATTAAAAGAACCCTACTTGCTATCACCGTTTTTAATATCTAGTTAAAGTAATTTTATTATAAAATACAGGTTATCATTTTTCTTTATTAAAAGCTCAAATAAATAATTAAGAACACTTTGTTAGGATACAAATTGGCTAATAGCTTGGGAAAATGTTTTAAAATCTGTTGAAATACCATTTATATGACAAATAAGAAAATGAATAACTAATTAGGCTGAAAGAGCTTTAGTAAGTGAGAAAATGAAACCTATTCAATATGCTCTAGATGAAATGACCTTTTGAAAGACCTGTTTTTGAATAAACAAGGTTACATGGTAAATAAGCATGAAAATTCATCTAAGGCTAGGAATCTATGTATTGAGAATCATGAAGCAAGTCTTTTCATAAGTGTTCAAAATATAAAGGTCTGATAAAATGTTTTCACATTTTTTCTGTTAAATCTATTTATTTATTTATTTATTTATTTTTAATTTGGTAGAACTGGATACTGAAACTGCTTCATCTTCAAAGCCAGAAGAAAGTTTCTATGCTGACAATTTCAATCCATTCAAGGATGAGGATGCCCCAGAGTACTTGAACCCATTTGATGAGCCAGATCCTGACCCTGAAACGTTTGTAACTGTACGAGATTCTCCTCCGCAACCTGCAAAAAGGAAAAACGTCAGACCAGTGGATATGAGCAAATACCTCTATGCAGATACCGCTAAAGCTGAAGAGGAAGAGCTAGATGAGTAAGTGTGATTCTCATCTTTCAGCGGCTTTGGATGCATTAGTGGTATCCCTGGCTTAATCTTGAGGTGTATTGGGTTCAACCATGGTGATCCTTAATCACCTCCTTAGGACAGACTGATCGTTAGGCAGCTCAGCAGCAGGAAATAACATACCCCCAAGTCATACTATTCAGCTGAACATGATCAGTTAGGATAGTTTTCTTTGGCTCATTGATAGCAAATTACTTGATAGGGAAGAGGTCTGTGTACCTTTTTGGTACTGCATGCCTGCCAATTGCAAGTGAACCAAAAATTAAGGAGCAGCAGAGCTTGGTCCTTCCTGTCCTTTTAACCATTATTTTTACTACCTAAAATAATAACTTTTGTTAATGATAATGCAGATTTTGATTTATATTTGTGCAGTATGTAAAAAGGAAGAGCATTGTGCAGTTTGCATATCACAGTTTTGAGAGTCATAAAACTGAGGCTGGGAAAGATAACACCATATGCATTAGTTTGTTTCTTTTATCATAACCACACATAAAACTTTTATAAACTCACACTGACTGCCTTTTATTGTAGTATAGAAACCTAACAAGGAATGAGAGCTTTTTGCAATAGCTATGCAGCTGGGGAGGTTTGAAGGTATATACTTATTCCTTGTTTGTGGTCATTAGTCACCAACCACACCACTCATGAGACAGTTTATGGTGATTACGTGTGAGCAATTTTGCAGATAACAACTGTAATTAACATTTAGTTTTACGTTATTTAATGAGATTTATCATGGCATGACACTTGCATAGCTTTCATATTTAATATTAATACAGGTGTCATATCATCATCTTTATATTTCTCTGTTTATAGCTGTGTTCTAGGAAATTGAAGAATTTCCATGCACTCTAATTGAAATGTTTAAAGGACCCTGCGGGTTTTTTTCCTTTTAAAGCTCTGTGGCCATGGATTTGTTGTTGTTTGTTCTGTGGGGGGGGAAAAAACCCCAAACAAACAAAAAAAGGGCATTGGGAAATGATGTATCTGCCAGCCCCATTCATCGGGGCACTGCCTGAACAAACAGCACTGGCTGCTGTGTCTTCAGAGCACAGCGTGATCACACTGTTGACAGTCACACCAGGCATCCCTGATCATTCACCAGAATCCACAGGGAGAAAAAATATGTATACTTTACACCTGCAAAGGTATGGGTAGAGAGGACAGCAAAGACTGAGAAGAGCAGAAAGAGCAAAAGCTACATGAGTGGGCAAATGAAGAATTCTCTTTGTTTTATATTTATACTTGTGTTTTCACCCTAAGCAAATCTGTGCCAAATGGGCTTGCAGCGCTGTTGTAACAGGCAGCCTTGTTTTTTCTGTGTACTGGACTGTAGATTTCTTTAGTCCTTTGTTTACAACAGCTGCTTTCTTATTTTAATGACCCCATTTGCTTTATTCCTTTTTTTTTTTCTTTTTTTTCTCTAGGATAAAAATAAACTCCCCATAGGTGGATTCTACTTGAACACAAATCTGATCTGTGCTGTCATTATGAAAGTGTTGTCCCATGGAAAAAACAGAAGAATAAGGAGTAAAAAAGCACTATAAAGTAGTTTTTCACATCTTTTACATAAGTTTCTTTACATCCTGACTCCCAAAGTAGCTTCCTCTCCACATTTTCCTCCCAAGTTACATGAGCGCCATGTCATTGAAACAGATGTGGCAACTATTTGTTAAATGTATTGGGCAGAAGTGTGGCAAGGAGAATCTTTGAATCTTTATACTGAAATGCTCTGGAGGAATAAGTGTAAGAATAAAACTCCAGTCTAAGAACACAGGACTTGTGATACTAACTCACACCTACAAGTACTATTCTGCCTTACCTCATGTCATTAATTTTCAAATTTTTCAATAGAAAGTTTCTGCTAAGATATGGTATTGTGTGAGCACCAAAGGAAAGATTTTCATAGGCAGTGCCAGTTTGTAGTTTTTGTGTGCCCTAAATCATGAGGGTTTATGTCCAGATGTGTATTGTTTCTTATCTAACGTGAATATTGATGCTTTTATTATCTACATAAGGGGCTAATCTTCTTCCAAATCCTGTTAAAGTGTAGGCTTCAGTGTTAGTTTGTGGCAGTGTTCCACAAGAAAACAAGATCTTATGTGAAATGTGTTTCCTTGTATTGATTGTAAATAAGTCACCTTTCCAATCCCCTACACAATCTCTTCTGCCGGCTTATCAAAACAATTAGTAGTATTGGATTTATCTGCCATAAACAGTTGCTGTGTTGTGTATCTCTAGCATGTTCACCATTACTTGTCACTTGTCTGAGTTAAATGGTGCTAACTTTTTCACTCTCTCTTCATACAGAAGTCTCTTCATCTGTAGTAATTTTCACCGCGCGTCTCTGGAACCTGTTATTCCTTCTGCTCTGTATCTATTTTAAGATGTGTTGACTTGGCCTGAGCAGTGTATTCAAGACAAGGCTGCACAACTGAATCATGTCACGGCGTTAGAAAACTTTGCACATTATTTTCAACCTCTCTCCTAACATCTTGTCTTTTGATTTGTTGTGGTTTTGTTTTGGGTAGTTTTTAATAATTTTTGACTACCACTGTAGTACTGGGGTCCAGTGCTTTCCCCACACGTAGTTTTGAACCTGATAGATGGAAGGCATGAGAAATAGAAGGCTCCTGAAAGACATTTACTATTGCTCAGGAAATACAATCTGTTTTTATCTCTGCGGCTTAAATGTTTCATTGGAGTTCACTTAATACACCACTTGGCATTTTCCTCTTGTATTTTGTGTGAAATGCGATGATGTGTTGTGGGAACAGGGACACATCAGTTAGCATCAGGACCCTTGTCACACTCTACTCTGGCAGATTCCTAGTTCTGATTCTGGACTCAGGGCTTACACAAAGTGCCCCAAGAGCTGAACTCTGACTCCAGTTTTGTAACAGACTGTCATTGTAATCTTGGAAAAGGTACTTACCCTCACTGCACCTCTGTGAAGGATTTACCTTGGGTAATTGGCTTAATTGAAACATATTTCACTAAATGGTTGTGAAGATAATGTCAGATTTCACAACATACATAAGCAAAGCATAGTCACAAGCATAAGCATAATGGGGTGTTGCATGGTACAGAGGGACTTAGATCATCCAGTACACGTATTCTGCTGTATAACTACGCTCTCAAAACATACTTCCTCTGGCTAAATTCTCATACTTAGCTAAAGATAAGGGACATGTTTTCCTTGTGTTAGTTTAGGCATTTGAATGTTAGTACAAAATTCTGCTTTTGCCTTTTTGAATTTTATACATTAAGATCAAAATGGTGGCTACCTGTTAATAAAGGACAGCACGCCTTGCTACATTAAATTTAATTGTATGAAAATAACATAGCTCACAACTACTGGAAGTATAATGCTTTCAACTCTAGTTCTTCTGATTGGTAATATTGCCTGATCATTTAACCCTGCTACACTCACAGCTTTGGTTTTCCTCCTCAATAAAATGTTGATTTTTTTTTTTCCCCATTAACCAGGTGCACTGATCAAAATAATTTTTAAATTGGTGAGAATAAAACTTGCTTTCTGATATTATTTGGCTCTGTGGCTTCTTATCTCATTAGTCAGTGCATGGCTTGGAATAATGCTGTTTCATTTGAAAGACTATTGAGTTGCCATCTATTGAAGGTGCCTGTTACACAAGAAGCCACAAGCCACCATACTGCCAGTGACAGCTTAATGCCATGTAGTTTGTCAGGTTTGGGTTTTTTTAATTTTACGGTGGACAGTAGAGTATCTCTTTAGGCAAATCGTATTGTGTGGATCAATTAACTTCACTAAAGCAAAAAGTATGAGAGCTAACCTCAGAGAAAAGTGCTCTAATATTTTTTTGGCTAAGGCTTTTTTCAGCCAAACTTTTCCCATGCTTAGTTTCTCAGATAGCCATGTGGAAGCTGTTGAACCAAACTCTGCTACGTATATCAGACCCCAGTGACTTCAAAATTTGTAACCTCCTCAGGGAAGAACCAGCGTTGTGCTTTTTCTGCATTAACTTTTCAAAACTCTTTCTAAATATTTGTAAGACCAATTCAAAGCGGTAGAGAGGAGAAGGTGGGAAATAGTGTGTGTGTGTGTTCTGCCTATACTATGACCAAAATATGAAGGTTTAGCCTGGCTTTCAAGCAAGTTTTTGTCTGGAAAAAATATAAGAGGCAGTCACTTGTCTCCTTACATCACTTCCTCCTCATACAGTAGGTTACAGTTCTTCAAGATTGTGCATGCAGCACAAACAATTCTGGAGCATAAAAATTCAAAAGATGGTTCTTCCAAGCTTTTTTACTCTCATTGGTGTTTTTTTTTTCATACCAAATGAATTTTAATACCTTAGAAATACACTTTTCTAATTCCAAGTACACAAAGGTAAATTACTTTCCTGCCAAACATGCTGCATCTGTTGGCTATTCAGAAGGCTAACTTGAACTAAAGAAAACCTTGTGCTCTCCTGTAGAACACATTGTTCTTCAGCCTTTCTCTCTCTTATCTTTATTCTCACCTCCCTTTGAACTTTCCGGTGTCTGAAGACAGCTGAGCTGGACTGTCAGCTAAATTAGAGCTACTGACAGCTAGGTGCATTCTCTGCTCCAGCCTGAATACTCTCCTCTTTCTGCTAGCTCCCATGGAAAACACCCACCCATTTCTATTTAACTTGTTATTTTGATGTTGCCTTTAGTTTTGATTGCACTGGTGGCTTTGTGCTTGACGGGCAGCAAAGTGGGAACACCTGAAAGTTGCCTTCAGTCAGCAGATGAGTTATTTTAGCATTTGTCTTGCCTTTCACTTTGGTATCTGGATTTAGATCTCTTTCTCTGTAACAAGCAGTGGCAGATTCTCAAAAAGGTCTGGAGGTGTTAAGCCTGGTCTTCTCTTATGTGCTTCAGTAAACTTTGCCTTTTAGAAGTAGACTTAATTTCTGCAGTGTGGATTATTAATTACTTGCTTTTTCTCAGTGAAAAGAAGATGATGGTAAAATGCATTAAAATAAATTCTAAAATCAGTCCCTGAGACTGACAGACATGTTTTCATACTAAAAGTACACAAAACTGAAAGAGATTTGGTGTGGTGCAAAAGGAAACTGGATGAATAGTTGGGTTCTTGCTTCTGCCCAAATTTTGCTGTTACAGTTCTTTAAAAACAGTGTGTACTAGCTCATGATTCTTATCCTGAGAGGAAATTTGTGAATGGATCTAGCTAGGTAGGCTCTTGTCTAATGCTATATGCATTGTTTCCATCTAGAGTTGAATTCAAGCGACTGAGGTTATTTGTCGTGATTAGTTACACTTTATATAACTGTATGCAGATAGATCTTTGGGAATTGCAGTGACTTAGTTACCTAAACATGGTTTGAGATATATGATAAATATGTCTTGCAGGGGAAGTGTGGACTTAGAAAGGAATTAATTAACATATCAGTTTCATAATTAACTGTCCAGTTTTAGATTGCAAAATGTGAAAAGCAAAAATTATGAATAAAATAATTCAGTGCAAAGAAGATTCCCATAAGTATCCTTAGCAGGATACAAAATTTCTGGCTCTTCTAAGTACATAGTAGAAGCCATTATGTGATGTATTATTGATTGATATTTGATATATCAAACTAATAGACAAAATTTGGAAATGCTGTGGAAGTATTTACTTAGGGTGGAACAAATGCGGAGTTGGAATCTGAATGCCAGAGTTAAGAGCAATAATTCTTTGGACTGCATCTATTTGGAAAATGTTTATTGCACTTCATAAATGAAGCTTAGTCATAAAAAGCACTTTCAGAATAAACAGATGATGACTACTAGTATCTGTAGAGAGGTATACACGTCAGCTGTGGTTTTCTTACACTATTTTCTTATCCAAAGAGCGTTCTTGAAATGCTATGGTGTCTGTATGCTGCAGAGTTTAAAATACACTCAATGTGGATTGTGTGCCTATGGAGGCCAAAATTTTCAGACTTAGACAGCCAAGAGTGAGGCCTCTAAAGCAGTGTTGAAGCATGCATGTAAGAGTGGCCTCATTCTTAACTCTGTTCTGATGAAGCATTCTTAATTCTGTTCTTTAGAATATTAAACAGCCAGCAACTTCACTCAGATTTGTTGGTATTGAGCTTGTCTGTAAATCAGATCACTCTTTGATGGATAGCTAAGTATAATTGAAGAGTTAGCTTCATGCAATTGATAAAACTTCTGTAATTTACAAGACTTCATAAAATTTATGGAAATTCTGACTTAATGTATTTTTAACTGTTGTAACTCACTTTTCAATCGTATGAAAAAGTAGTATGTAAAAGCATGTAAAGGCAAAACATTTTCTTACGTGGGATAACAGAAGCATTTTAGTCATTGGCTTTTCTAAACAGGTCTTATTTTCAGTTTTAATTCCAAGGAGATAGCAAAGAAATATGTTTCCCTTTTCTTAATTAGATCAAATCCGTTTTATGAACCAAAATCAAGCCCAGCTTTAATTAAAGTTGCTCCACTGCAAGAATCAGAAAAGAAGATGAAAAGAAAGGCTCCTGAACCACCGAATGTCTTGCCAAAGACAGAGATGGGCGTGAGTGAGAACATGTCAGCTGTTCCTGCATCGAGGGAGCTTTCTTCTTCTCCTAAGGTAGGTTTTTTCATACCAAAATCTTGTCTTTGTTATTAGCAGTACCTTTATGTGTATTGTAGACATCCTATTTATTTCTGCAGGCCATCTTAAAAGCTTTGCTTATACTTAATAAGGTGTTGGCTCATCTCTATTCACTTGGTGGTTCATAGGGAGAGAGCAGCAGTAGGGGCTTGTATTTTTTCTTTAAGGATTTAATGACAACAGTAACAGCAACTGCAGTTGAAAAGAGTCTTCTAGTAACAAATGTTACAGGACAGCTGGATATGCCATCGAGAAGGAAGAAAATCATGTTGAACAATGCTTTGTCTTGATCTATTGTAATGCTGCTAAGCCTTGCCCCTGTTGAAGACTCTGTCTCCACATTTCTGTCATAAATCTGCGTTTTAAGACCTTAGTACTGGATACTGGGGGGTTTTTGTATTGGGATTTATATATGTCCAATTCCATAGGTAAATTGAAGTAATTTAAAAAAAAAAAAAAAAAAAAAAAAAAAGACTGTCTACTTTACATCAGATTAACTGGTTATTAGGAATGTCCAGACTAAGCATACTTAGATATGCACATATGTCCGTGTTTGTCAAGGGAAAATATGAGTTAACTCTCTGAAGAGAGCAATGTGAGGCATAGGTATTTTAGGATTATAACAGCTAACTTCTGTCAGTGTGAATTTCAACTCCAGTGTTTCAGCAGTTAGCACAGCTTGTGTTTTTTTTAAAATAAGTATTTAATAGTATATGTTAATGGGCCTTTCTTAAAAATGAATTTGATACATGCTGACTGCTTGATTTGAAGGGTAAGAAGATGAAGACAGAAGGCTTCCCTTCCAGCGTATCTCACCCAATTTATGCATATTGTCATCTGTTTTGCCTTATATTGGAGCTGCTGTAGTTTAATTTAAGGATTGAATGAAACTATTTGTCATACCTATCATTTCATTGCTTAATTACTCAGCCAGATTGCTGACGTGTCCTTGTCCCCTGAGGCTCTAATCTTGCTGTCTTTTTACCACTCAGTCAAGGTAAATAATATGAGACCAGAAAATTCGTCTGTGTCTGCTCATAGCAAAACAAAACAACATAGTAAGGCCACAAGCACAATTCACAAGTTATTCTTAATATGCAAAACCACAACCAGGGAAATATGAAATCAAAGCATAGCAGTTTTATAATGCTCTGAGGGGGTTTGGTCTTGTTTGCTGAAGTTTCTGTATGAAAAATATTGCACATTATTTGATTTCTGGTAGAGTCTGGCCCTCGGGTCAAAGCAGAGTGGCCAAAGTAAAGCATTCTGGTACTACCAGGCAGAGAAGAGACATCTGTGGAGGAGATTTTATCCGGTTGCTTGATGGAGGTTGTGCCCCCATTGCTCATTGTTTGAGAGGTTTTTTTACAGGTCTGCATCCAAGGAAATATGTCTCTCTGCTTTATTTCTTGTCTTCTCTGAAATAACATACTGCTACTGGGTTTGATTGTTGTAGGTTTTGTCTATCCCAAAGTTTTAGATTGTCTGAAAGCTGGAATTGATTAAGAAAAGATGCAGGATGGAACTTGCTGAGAAGACTGTGCTGTTATGAACACAGTTGGGTAGTTCCTGCTCTTATGCAGGGTGTTTGTTTCCGAATACTTTGGTGCCTGCCTGCTTGCAGCCCACCTCTCTGCCACTGATGCTGAGACACATCTGAGATCAGCAAAGGTCCGAGTACTGAAACTTTGCTATTCATTAGGGCTGTGAGGGAAGATGGAGCTCTAAACTGACCTTCTCTTGTACAGGAAAGCTTTAGATTTTTTTTTTTACAGGATTTTGGAGGATATAAGGCCATTAGGGAAGGCTTCAAATCAGATACAGTGTCCTGGTTTATTCTATTACAGCTAGAGTGGAAAGTTTTGCTGACTGGGTGTGTTAAAATATTGTATGGTCACTTGCAATTCAGAAAGCTTTCAGTAAGCACTGGGGTTTTTCTGTGCTTGAATTGTTTTGCTCTAAGGTGACCTCATAATGTTATATCAAAAGCACCTTATTTGGAATGCTTTTTGAAATTCACAAAAGTACTGGCATCTAAAACAAAAGAAAATTAAACAATTTCCTCACACCTTAGTACAAAATAGTGCCCAGGTAAGACTTGGCCTGTTGGCACAAATAACTTGTTTGTTTATTACTCAATAATAGTGACAATGTTTAGCAACTCTGAAAAAACTCCCATCAAGAAGTATAGGCACTATACAAACATGAACGTAGCACGTGCCCTTATGTAGGGGGAATAGTCCCGTGGAGGTAAACTTCAGTAAAGGGAGGTTAAATAACATATCTTATTCAGTGTTTTGTCCAAGTTTGCTGTGTACAGAAAGCCTCTGCTACAGCTCTGACCAGAACCTAAGGTCCCGACATGTTTAATTCCCTGTCTTGGTTGTCTTTGTAGGAAATGACTGTGGTGCAGAAATGCTAACCTTTAGACTACACAAACAGAGCATTAATATTAGAACTTTAGAGTTTAAGGAAAAAGACTCCAAAAATGCTTCTGCAAATCTTTGACAGAGTATTTGGAGCTTGTTTTTACTTCACATGCTAATGGTATTCATCACATTTGCTGAACACAAAAAAATAGATATGCTGTTGTTAACAGCAAGTTTATTAGCTGGAAATTGCTCCTGAAAGATTATTTGACACATGACAGGTTCCTACTCAAGATACAGGTTCTAAATTTTGAAATTATGTTACCCTATTAAAAAAAATATAGATGTTGAAACCAGAAGTTCCTAGAGTTTAAATATCAATTCAGGACAAGAAAGGTTGATATTTTCCTAAGTATAAAGCCCAAAATCAAATCCCTAGGGTACGACTGGACACCAAAATTGCTTTGTTCAGTGTTCAACTGCAATGAGCCTTCTAGCATTGGCCTTCAGGGTATAGGGACAGTTCCACAGAAGTGCAATTGAGTTTGCTGTTGAAACATCATAGCCTGAATCCAACATTTTACCATTACACATGTAGTGGTGGAAGGTGTTTCTCACCTGAGGGATTTCTGACTTCCCACATGCGGTTTTGGTGGGGGTTTTTTTGTGTGTGTATGTTTCATTAATTTATAACAGCAGTGTCTGCAGTAATGAAAGAGAAGAATAAAACAATGAATTTTTAGCAGTCAGCAGTCTTGGACATGTCTCATTTGAGAATAGACTTAAGCTAATGCATCTAAGTGAATTGCAAAAAACTTTCTTTTAAGGAAGTTGTATGGTCTTTTAACAGCTGAATACTCTTTTTAGATTTTCCTGGAATCATATCCACAATTTATTACCCCTGTTACTCTTGACACCACAAAAATCAAACTCCTCCTAGTTCCTTTCTTCAAAGATGTATGTTGTACAAGATAATTCTGTGTAAAAGTTTCATGTAAAACTAGGCAGAAAATTCCAGAAAGCATCTTCTGATCTGGAGGTATCTAGCATCATGTCTGGTATACCCAGGATAAAGAGTGTACTCTAGGGTGGAGTCATGAGTTGGTATTAACTTTCAAAACCTCAATGATCAGCAAAGATAGGATATGAGACTAATAAATAAGCAAGTTTGAAGCAAAGACTTGATCTCACTGGGAGACAGACATAACTTACTACCCAGACAATTATACATGATTGTTGGTCAGAAAGACAAGTGATGGTACCAAATACAGACAGTATTTAACTTTTATTTTTGCCTTGAAATGACTGTTCTCAACCATATGGTGTACATGTGCCTGAAGCAGTTATAACCGTAACAGTGTCTCCCACTACTGCAAGGCTTGCCTTTAGCCTCTTTTTCCCCCTCGCCCCAAGACTTTACCTCACTTGGTGTCCCCTTACCATTCCTTAACAAATTTCAGATGTGAGAAAAGAGTACAAATGAGGCTGTTTCTGCCTGCCCCGAACCTCAGGGTTTTAGTCTATGTAAGGTTGGTTGAGCTCATGAGCACTAGTGATTTAGTGTCTTGCCCCTTTCATATTAATTCTGCACAGGGGACACATCCACTTCTTTAGCTGCTGTAAGATCATCCCACCTCCTGTTGTCTCCTTGGCTGTTTCCAACATACCTCTCTCTGCTCATTGTTCACAGGATCATAGAACGGTTGAGGTGGGAAGGGACCTCTGGAGGTCATCTGGTTGAAACCCCCTGCTCAAGCAAGGCCACTTAGAGCCAATTGCCCAGGACTGTGTCCTGACAGCTTCTGAATATCTCGAATATTAATCTGATCTTTTTCAAATGTTTGCCTTGCACTGCTTCCCCAAGCAATCAGTTAACTGTAGCAGCAAACCCCTTCCGAGCTTCTTGAATGTCTTCTCCTTGAGCAGACCCTTTTGATCACTCAGAGATCCCCCTGTCACCTGTATTGGTGAGGAAGGGGCAGTTATCTGTCATAGATAAGGCAGGGTCTAGCTCTTCATAAAGGTCCAGCCAGCTCTTGGCCCAGTAGTATTAGCTCAGTATTTGCCAGTAGTATTTTGAGTTCAGAGGAAGTTTTGTTTCCAAGTATTATTAGCTACTCGCACTTCTTAAAGGAGTATCTTAATTCTCTCCTGTCTTCCTTCCATGACTCTAAAACTAATCTGAGTCATGAGAGACAGCTTAAAAATGCAAAGTCTGAAAGCCTGGACTTATCCCACAGTTAGTAATCTCAAATGGCTTGAAGACTATGGTGTGCTGGCTCTATTTAGGTGAGTTTGACAAATTGCAAATCTGTAATTAAGCTCTTCAGTCATCAACCTGCTACAGTGCTGTCGAGCCCAACTGAAGCCTTATTAGGCTTGTTACCATCATACATGTGTTACTGTTCTTGACATGGTTTGGATAACCAGGTTCTGCATTTCACAGAGGTGATGGAGACTTTAAATTTCTTCCACTTGTAGTTGACTTTGTGGAAAAAAAAATTGAAAAATTTTGAAGCTCAGCCTCAAAAAGTGGTGTCAGACCAGTGCATAGCATGCATATCAGTGCTTATCATTGATTTATCTGATTTTAAAAAGTACATATCA